CTGACATCGATATCAAACCAGAAATTAAGCAAATTTTAGTTGCCGCCACAATGTCTACCTCCAGAAATCTCGGCAAGAACGAGGTCATGCTGTTTTCAAACACTCTGAAACCAACCAGTGGGGCAGTCGGCTGCAGCTTCATTCATGTGACCTACTTTTTCTGATGGCTGTGTCTGGATGGGGAGGGGAAAGACCCCCAGAGAAGTGAGAAGAGTGCATGAACAATGAGAATGCATTTCTCTATACTACACAACCCACTTTCAGGCTCAAGCACCCAGATACTGACTGCATAATTCAATGCATGTGCACTTTAAAAAAGTCATGATAAACAAGATATTGAAGACACGTGGAAATCCACTATAGGCTTATGGCAAGAACCAGAATGCATGACCATCAAACTCAATGGTTTTAGTGCTGCATCCAAACCACTAAAAGCTTTTACATCTGCTCGATACATGGCCATCAGTTTGGAAACACAGAGGACTATACCTTTTGGTATATCCTTTTATAATGCATATTAATTTCATATTATGGCAAATGTGTGCATGTAATTGAGTTTTTAATGGCATTTTGAACACCATTATCTATATTAACCTGTACTGAGAGAGTACCAGGTAGAACTTTGGTCCCGTCCTGATTTGATGACACTAGAATATGTGTATTCACTAGAATATATGGTCAAAGGTTTGTTGAACTCGAAGTTTAATTTAACAGGCCATCAATTATAGTTTTGTAAACATGACAGCTTTTTTACGGGTGCAAATAAAAATTCATTTTATGGTTTTGAAAAACACTCATTAGTAGGCTGCTTCAGGAACCAAACGAAGTGCAGATCTTGAGAGAATCTGATGGCAAAAATTCTGCACCCTAACAAGTAAACACTATAGGGTCAACTCTGATTTTTAAACTTCCAATAGCTTCACAACTTATATCAGACAACAATTTTTTATAAAGTGTGTGTTAGCTAGATTTACTAATACATTAAATTAAAAACAAATAATGCTCTTTGACTGCCTACTTCGTTCCACAATTTGTTTGAGTGCAAGAGGTTTTTTTAAAGATATGGCAAGCGGTTTAACATGTATTCCTTTAATAGTTAATTTTGTGTTGCTAATATTTGGTCAAAAATAAATAAAACTAAAAGTAACAATCCACTAGTCCCTTTTTCAGTTTTGCTATTATTTATTAGATATTATTACACTGACAAAAATGGTGGTAGGTAGGATTTACGTTGAAACTTTTTTTACTCAGAAACTGCTAGTAAATTTCACAAATAATTGCAAAGAAACGGCAAGCAACACGTCGTATTAAACATAAAATGCTGAAGCAGAACATTTAGAATTTCAATTTTCCTGTAAAAGTTTTCTGGAAAATGTGTTTTATTTACAACTTCACAAATCATTTTTACTTACCGTACTTATTCGAAAATTGACAAGTAGTCAAATATTAGTAGTCACTAGTACATATTTCTTCAATTACAGACATAATTCAGTTTATACTCTTAAGAATTCTGTTGTTCACTTTCGTCTGATTAGTATTCTCATTGATTCTGGTACCCATTTCAGTTCCTAGACACCTATAAGAGTATATTACAATACATTTGATCATTTAGGCTATTAGTGAATGTGTTGGTTTAAAATAGCTTACTTGTAAGATTTAAATTGAACTAGTTCTAACTAGCCTACTAAAAATGCAACAGAGATAAGAAATGTTGGTTAGCTGGAAAACTACCCCACTAGCAGCAAAGGAATGAGTAGTAACTTATGATTATTGTAATAGGCAACTATCGGAAGAAGAACTAGCAACATAAAAACATATACTAGTTAGTTTAACGCAATAAATGTAAAACAAAGAAAAGGGGCTTGCCATACAATGAGCTCGTTGGCGATACACTGGCTACATGAAAAAACTGTTTACAGTTCCTTACCTGACTACGCTCGAAGTTTTCCTTTTCAGCTTCTTATACAAAGTACACAACTACACATACATTTATTATGTAAACAAAAACTTTTATTTTGGATGCGATTAATCGTGATTAATCGTTTGACAGCACTACTCGCCAAGCACTGCTCTAATGGTGTTCTTCTCTTTCAGATCGTCGCCAGTGCTAAAGAGGCAGTGACAGGAGCCAAGGAAGCCGTCAGCGGTACCATGAACGGTGCCAAGGAGTCTGTCTCCTCCACCCTCAGTGAAGTGACGGACAGGACACGTGGAGCAGTGCAGGAAAGCATGGAGAAGACCAAGACGGTGGTGAGCGGTGGAGTCCAAACTGTGATGGAGAGCAGGGTGGTCAAACTGATGAGCAGCAGCGTGGACACAGCACTGAGCACATCTGAGACTCTCCTGGAGCAGTACTTACCTGAAACAGAGGAGGAAAGAGGTGAGGATAAGGGATGGACCGGGTTTACTGGCACTAGGATATTTTGCTGATATTTAGATTGTGCTCAGCTTAAAGTTGTGATAGATTTTCTTTTCTATTGTGCCATATATCTGAGGAAAATGATTCCTCAAATGAGAAAAAATTTTCATAAAACGCATAAATATCTATGCATATATATATTGACTCTTACATAAGCACTTGTGAGAACTGCATATCTTGTGATATTCTTGTGATATGCTTCTTATGAGGCTTTTTAAATCACATTGAAAGAATATCCATACTGTATGCTCTGTTATAAGCGTCAAATAGTCCTTGGAATTATTCAATTTTCCTGGAAAAGAAATATTAATTCTATTCATGAGTGGAACGTTAGACTTAGGCACATCTCAAAGAGATCCTTGACTAGCAATCTGAAATTCATTTTCGTCTAAAGAGCCTCACTAATCTTAATAAAACGGCAATGGAATTTCTCATATCTAACAGTTGCTTCTTTGTCCTGCTTCTCTGCTTAATCTCTCTCAGAAAGTGAAGTGAAGAACTCCGGAGGACTGGAAAATAACAGCGATCCGCTCAGTTACTATGTACGGCTGGGGTCTCTCTCCAACAAAGTCCGGGACAGGGCTTACCAGAGGGCTGTAGATAAAGTTCGTAATGCCATACAACGCAGCCAAGAGTCTATATCTCAGCTAAACCACACCATGGATCTAGTAAGCTGATCTGAAATTTATTCAAGAGATCTATAATAACTGTCAAAATACTGTCTTCTAATATCATGTTTTTATTTTTTTGTTCTTGTCATTTTTAACTGTACAAATCACTATGATTTTGAGACATGGGGTTGGTTAGCACAGGGTTAATTACTGGTTTACTGGATGCTGTTACCAAAATAAAACAAAATAAAACGGAATGTTTGCCCTCTTGTTATTTTCCAGCCTGTAAAGGATCTAAAAATATTTATCCAAATATATATATATATATATTATAATTCTTTAAAGAATAAAAATTGTGGCAACCAACCTCAGTCTAGCTGAAAGTACACCTAAAGAAAAGCTTCTAAAGAAAAGTTGTCATTTCTTTTAATTTAGCTACATCTAGTGGCGGTACAACGCTACAAGACTTGCACGATACGCCTATTTAAATATCTTGATATTTGTATTTACAGCATTTACAAAGTATAACAGTAAATTCCAGTTACGAACTTTTTGCTTAAGTGTACAAAACAATAGGCCTTCTTGATCACAATACATAACCCCATAAATCTTATCAAAAAGTTCAGGATTTAAAAAAATATGTATATCTTTACCAATAATTCTGTTGTAATCTTTAATAGTTAACTCGTGGGCCAAATACATTTAAATACGATATATACCACAGCTGCATGTGTGTGTGTTTGTTACTGAAACAGAGCATCACCGCGTTCAGCTCAGTAGTGTTCTACAGTCTTACAGCGTTACGTTGTGCGAATCATTCGTTTGGAGTCGATTCTTTTTAATGAATCGATTCACAAAATCTTTCTGAACGGTTCGTTCATGCATCACACGGAACCGTGTTTTTGACTCAACTAAAAAACTAAAAAAGTGTTAACACATTGAACGGAAAATCGTCTCTTGGGTAGATGTCCTATACTCATAACGTAGCAGCTCAACTGAAGACAGTAGTGTCCGGAGTTCAGCTTGAGTCAGTTCAATGTTGATTTAGCTCAAAACCAGTGTAGATGTTGCAATATACATGAATTATGAACAAATCCGATTAATCGATAAGAGCAGCTCTACAGAAGACAACAGTGTCATTGTTCAGCTCAATTCAGTTCAAGTTTTGTTTTCATCTGATAGTGTCAGTCCTGTCAAATCCATGATATTACTGAATTTTTTGTGTCTTTTTGACCCTAACTAATCAAGCCAATAGGCAAGAAACACAAACTCTATCAGGTGACTGAAATGGATGAAAAAAACCTTGGAGAAACCAGGCTCAGTGAATGAACACAGTGTGGTGTTGGTCAAGATAACGTCACAACAGCATTGGGTGTGAAGAAAGAGTTACCAAGAATTACCCATTTTGATTTCATGCTGACTTTAACAGTACTGAGCCGACAAGGGGAGCTGCAAAGTTATCATCATATTACTTGTTGCAATCTTCTTTTCTTACCTACTTGTAATGGTGAAAAAAGATTCTCGAACAACTTGATTTTGTTCATTGGGATTTGATTGGATCAAATGATCGCTGTCGCTTCTATTGAGTGCTGCAAGCGTGACGTCAAAAAATAGTGCTGTCAAACGATTAATCGCGATTAATCGCATCCAAAATAAGTTTTGTTTACATAATATATGTGTGTATACTGTGTATATTTATTATGTATATATTTAAGAAAATATGTTATGTTTATATATTAAATATATTTATATATAATATAAGAATATAAATATATAAATGTATATACATGAAAATATTTTCAAAATATATACTCTATGTGTGTGTGTATTTATATATATGCATAATAAATATACAAAGTACACAACTACACATACATTTATTATGTAAACAAAAACTTTTATTTTGGATGCGATTAATCGTGATTAATCGTTTGACAGCACTACTCGCCAAGCACTGCTCTTATGTATTTACTTAATGTTTCTGTCTCTCTGTAGTCTCTATGGCAAATGACCTGGCATGCAAAGGACTGGATAAGATAGAAAGGACCCTGCCGATCCTACACAAGCCATCTGATCAGGTATTATGTAATATTTGCCTAAATGTTAAAGTCGGCATGAAACGGAAGTTGCAATCATCTTTTCTTCCCTACTGTGATGTATATTCAAGTGGGACTTGATTTTGTTTATCAGGAATTGATTGGATAATTTTCATTGGCTTTTGCCGAGATCTCAAGTGAGTGGTTGTCAAAAATCTGCTATAAAGCAGCTGTAGCAAGACAATAGTGTCTATATTCAGCTCCTGTCAGTTCAGTTCGGTTCAATAACTGTGTAAAGTTCATTTATTATGAAACAAGTTCAATTCAGCGATTAGCAGCTCAACTGAAGACAGTAGTGTCCGGAGTTCAGCTTGAGTCAGTTCAATGTTGATTTAGCTCAAAACCAGTGTAGATGTTGCAATATACATGAATTATGAACAAATCCGATTAATCGATAAGAGCAGCTCTACAGAAGACAACAGTGTCATTGTTCAGCTCAATTCAGTTCAAGTTTTGTTTTCATCTGATAGTGTCAGTCCTGTCAAATCCATGATATTACTGAATTTTTTGTGTCTTTTTGACCCTAACTAATCAAGCCAATAGGCAAGAAACACAAACTCTATCAGGTGACTGAAATGGATGAAAAAAACCTTGGAGAAACCAGGCTCAGTGAATGAACACAGTGTGGTGTTGGTCAAGATAACGTCACAACAGCATTGGGTGTGAAGAAAGAATTACCCATTTTGATTTCATGGTGACTTTAACAGTACTGAGCCGACAAGGGGAGCTGCAAAGTTATCATCATATTACTTGTTGCAATCTTCTTTTCTTACCTACTTGTAATGGTGAAAAAAGATTCTCGAACAACTTGATTTTGTTCATTGGGATTTGATTGGATCAAATGATCGCTGTCGCTTCTATTGAGTGCTGCAAGCGTGACGTCAAAAAATAGTGCTGTCAAACGATTAATCGCGATTAATCGCATCCAAAATAAGTTTTGTTTACATAATATATGTGTGTATACTGTGTATATTTATTATGTATATATTTAAGAAAATATGTTATGTTTATATATTAAATATATTTATATATAATATAAGAATATAAATATATAAATGTATATACATGAAAATATTTTCAAAATATATACTCTATGTGTGTGTGTATTTATATATATGCATAATAAATATACAAAGTACACAACTACACATACATTTATTATGTAAACAAAAACTTTTATTTTGGATGCGATTAATCGTGATTAATCGTTTGACAGCACTACTCGCCAAGCACTGCTCTAATGGTGTTCTTCTCTTTCAGATCGTCGCCAGTGCTAAAGAGGCAGTGACAGGAGCCAAGGAAGCCGTCAGCGGTACCATGAACGGTGCCAAGGAGTCTGTCTCCTCCACCCTCAGTGAAGTGACGGACAGGACACGTGGAGCAGTGCAGGAAAGCATGGAGAAGACCAAGACGGTGGTGAGCGGTGGAGTCCAAACTGTGATGGAGAGCAGGGTGGTCAAACTGATGAGCAGCAGCGTGGACACAGCACTGAGCACATCTGAGACTCTGCTGGAGCAGTACTTACCTGAAACAGAGGAGGAAAGAGGTGAGGATAAGGGATGGACCGGGTTTACTGGCACTAGGATATTTTGCTGATATTTAGATTGTGCTCAGCTTAAAGTTGTGATAGATTTTCTTTCCTATTGTGCCATATATCCGAGGAAAATGATTCCTCAAATGAGAAAAAATGTTCATAAAACGCATAAATATCTATGCATATATATATTGACTCTTACATAAGCACTTGTGAGAACTGCATATCTTGTGATATTCTTGTGATATGCTTCTTATGAGGCTTTTTAAATCACATTGAAAGAATATGCATACTGTATGCTCTGTTATAAGCGTCAAATAGTCCTTGGAATTATTCAATTTTCCTGGAAAAGAAATATTAATTCTATTCATGAGTGGAACGTTAGACTTAGGCACATCTCAAAGAGATCCTTGACTAGCAATCTGAAATAAATTTTCGTCTAAAGAGCCTCACTAATCTTAATAAAACGGCAATGGAATTTCTCAAATCTAACAGTTGCTTCTTTGTCCTGCTTCTCTGCTTAATCTCTCTCAGAAAGTGAAGTGAAGAACTCCGGAGGACTGGAAAATAACAGCGATCCACTCAGTTACTATGTACGGCTGGGGTCTCTCTCCAACAAAGTCCGGGACAGGGCTTACCAGAGGGCTGTAGATAAAGTTCGTAATGCCATACAACGCAGCCAAGAGTCTATATCTCAGCTAAACCACACCATGTATCTAGTAAGCTGATCTGAAATTTATTCAGAGATCTATAATTACTGTCAAAATACTGTCTTCTAATATCATGTTTTTATTTTTTTGTTTTTTAGATTGAATATACCCGCAATAATTTTGATGTGTCTAACCAGAAGGTACATGAGAAACTGAGTTCACTGATGGGCTGGAAGAATGTCTCTCAGAGTCAAGAAGAGAACGAGACGGTCACAGACAACGAAGCTGAGGTATCTGAGATATCATGTGACTGGACATTAGGGCTGCACGATTTCTGCAACATTTAGGTTTTTTGCAATATATATTGGGATATTCAAAATTCAGGAATTTTTAATGAATCTACTCTAATCTCATGCTATGCATTTGATGCGATGACAAAAGTAGGTTTTGGTAAATGCTGATAATCCTTTTTTTTTTTGCATCATGAAGTTGCATTAAATTTCTACTAATCTAAATGCATTTTTTGATCAATCTATATCAGGATCGGTGAAATGTTCGTTTATGTTTATATTTTGCAACTCTACAATTTAAAAGTATTTTAATAAGTCAGTGTACATAAAATAACCCTTACAAAAGTATCACACACACACAGGTTTCAGATATTCACACATTTGTGAGCTTTCATAGATGCCAAGACAGAGAACAGACTTAAATAAAATAATAAAATACAGTATCTAAAACAACACTCTTTTCACAACTGTTTTCCACCTATCTTTTCCCACAATTTAGGAGGCTAAAATAGTTAAGTTAAAAGTTAAATGGAACAATCTCAATTCATTTGAAGCATTAGATTAAATGTGAGGAAAATAGTAATGAGGCTACAAAGTGGCATACTCATTGTGGCTTTACCTGAAATGAAAAAAATTGGGGAAAGATAACAATAAAGATCAAAACTGTAAGAAACAGTCATTTCTTCCTTCACAGTCAAGATATGTTTTTTTAATATGTTCTCATTAGCTTGTCAAGTAACGATTACACTATTTGTCTTCAGCTTACCTAATGCAGACTGTATTTGCAGAGTTTCTGTTTCTTTTGGTAGCACAGGTTCTACAATTGAGAAAAAGACTGAGATTAACAAAGTCTTACAACTGGCCACTCTGTAAAAAAATCAGGAAAAACTTAAATCTCTAGGCCTTTTCGATCAGAAATGACCGAAACATTTTGCTTTTTGAAATTTAAATTTTTTTTTGCTTTAGCAGAATGGGATGACTTTTGTGAACACAACAAATCATGGACATGTTTCAGATATATTAAAGGAGCAACAGCAACAAAACAACAACAAAAAAAGACACTTGGCTCCTTCGTGGTCAAAAATGACCAACATAGGAAATATGAAAAAAATACGAAAACTCCGATAATCTTTTCGTCGTACAAACTACAAATCAGCCATGGGGCAAAACAAGAACTGATGTGACTGCGACATGAAGCAAGTTTTTGCAAATGTGTAAAATCAATAATTCTTTATAGGAGTCTAGCGGTCACACCATGGTATTCCATATGTTTTTCTTTTTTACTCCCACCAGATAGCACTAATCTGCTTTCAAAAATTCGATTTTAAATATTTTAACATGAAACACTGCTTTGATTGAAAAATAATAATAATAAAAAAAATTAGAAAAATAAAGTTGTACTATTTTCAATGGGGAAACTGGGAAATTATCATAATTATTGCATAAATATTCATTAGTACCATAAAATTCTCTCAGATTTCAAAAGAAAAAGAAAAACATATTACATTGATTTGACTGAATCTAAAAAAAAGTTATATTTCAACCCCTAAACGAAGAGGGCTAGAGGCTTAAACTGGCTTAAAACCAGCTTTTTGGGGGCTTACGCAACGTAAAGAAAAGTTTTAGCTTCAACTTAAAAATGTTAATTTGCTCTGTGCTTTCATCAAACACAAAATAAACTCAAAATGAATGTTTTTTTTAATATATATAAGCATTGATATTACATAATAGTGATGTAGAACTTTTTAGTTTGTCTAACTTGGGTATCAGTTTGTTGAGCAAAATGAAAAGATCATATAAAATGACTTCCATTCACCAAAGAAAGTTCTTTATGTACTGAAAAGGCAGAAACCTCACAGAAGAAAACATTAATCACTCTAACGGTGACATGACAAACTTTTACAACAAAATAGACTCAAAAGCACTACATAGAGATAATTAATATTTTATGTAATGTCAACAATTTGGAATATAGAGTTTGTATAACAAAACAAAAGTTGGATTTTTGACAGTACATAACAGTACATAATATACTCAACAAAAGTTACCTACCCGTAACAGTGGCCTTCACTGTGCTGAGAGCCAAACCCTCTGAGTCAAGAACTTTGTATGTTCCGGCGCTGCGGGCCGTAACATTACTGAGAATCAACTTGTTGTCTCTCTTTTCCAGATAACCTTTCTTGTTTATGACTGCATCTTTTTCCCACAGGACTGTCCAGTCGGTTTCATTACTGTTTTGAAAAATCACTTGCTCAGCTTGATGCGTGTGCAGATCCAGGATCAGTTCTGCCCCAGTCTGCACAGATTTGATGTCCTTGTGATCTACCATGGGAAGAGGAACAAAGCATCAATTTAGAGTTAGTCATTATAGTTGAATGAAAAAAAGAGAGTTATTAGTAAACAAAAACTAAAATAGTAAAAAAGCATTTTCATAACGAGAAATCAAATTAAATATTTATCATTTTTATTCACTTTTTATTTTATATCAGCAAGTTGCAAAGGCAACATTTCTCATTCTCATTTAGTTTAACGTATTGTAATAAAATAGCTAAAAATGTAAAATTAATAAACTGAAAGAAAAATTATATAAACATTAAAAAAAACTAATAAAAATGACAAAAATACACAACAACATTAACTAAAATGAAAATGAAAACAAAAAGTTTAAAAATAAAAACGAATTATAATAATAATAAAAATTAAATCACTGATTTATACTGCATGTTAAAGCAATATCAATTCAACTAAATCAACAGCATTTGTGGCATAATGTTGATTATTACAAATAATAATAATAATTCTAACTTCTTTGCTTTTTTTGAAAGAAGCTAAACATGAGGTCATGTAGTAAAAGGGACCAAATGTTGGAGGATTTAAAAGCACAAATGTGAAGATTATAATTTTATAAAAGAACTTGAATGAATTCTTCAGCTAAAGCATGTGTGTTGTGTGAGCTGTAAAGGTTTTACTAAATATTTTAGGCGCTATGTCAATTTCTAAGTGAAAACTCTTTTTACACCGTTTTTTCAGTGTATTACAACACAAGTGATGTTGATTGAGCTTAACTTTTACCAAACACAGATTATTTATTTAAAACTGCTATAAGTGAGACGTGTTCTAGTGTTAAAGTGCCCTCACCGATTACTGCAAGATGGACGCTCTGAATTAAAATTCGGTTCTTGATACTCGATTCACCAACCACCAAGTAACTCTCATAAATGCCTGTATCACTGAATCTGACATCCTGCAAGAACAGAGAGCAGTTTCCCCTCACAAGCAGTTCCTCTGGGACATCCGCCCGGTCTCTATAAGCCTCCCCCTGAAACTGCTCCTGTCCCATTCGCTCAAACACAGAATCTCTTATGGTCTGCCACTGAATGTGAGGCCTGTGATCCAGGTGTGATGCCACAGAACACGGCAGGACAGCCGGCAGACCGACCCTTGATAACGTATGGACCACCACTGAGAGGGGAGAGGAGCCTATAGAGACAAGTTTGATCAAATACACATTATTTGACTTTAAAATTAAGCGCAAAAATGCTAAGAAATAAAGTTGGCGTATTTTTGTCATTGTCTACTTACCAACACAAATAAGAAGCCATAGCATCAGAAAGGCTGAAATCCTGAGAAGAAATGTTATAAATTACAGCCTACTGAGACCGGAGCAAGGAGAATATTTATTATTTTCAGTACAGATAAATAATCTAAAGTCTCCTGACAACAGCATTGTGTTCTATTAAGTAGAGCTCCATATGGCAAGCCAAATTAGCTTTTAATATAGGCTAATTGCATTTTTACTAGTAACAATTAACCCTTTCACTGGTGAATTTAAAATATTCTATCTGTCCCCCCAGAGTAAGTTTTTTTTTTTTAGATGATTGGTATTTTAGAAAGTTTCCCCTTATTGTTTCTATGGCGATGCGTCAGGCTTGTCACGTGACACACCACAGCCACAATAACACTGTATGACAAATGGATAGCTTTTATTTTTGTTTTTATTCCAAATATTCACAAACTTGTTTACCATATAATCAGCTATCTGATATTCCGAATTCACAAATATGCGTAAATTAGTGTTTTGTCATTTAAAAACCTTTCTAAATGATCTTGATCGTGATCTATAACATGAGATGAGCTCCACCATATTTGTTCGTGCTGCAGTTCAGAGAGTCCTGCCGGTCGGATTTACAGCACGTAAATGTATCAGTTTCTCCCGAAATACATGTAAATAAGTGGCCGTGAACTGGGAGAAGAATAGAGTGAACTTTATAGTTAATTA